AATCCTTTGCTACAATTCAACTTCGTCTAAAGAAATAATCAATTAAATTTTTTTTTTTTTTAAATTGAATATTTAAATTCAGTTTGTTAAAGAGACTAGTTAAGAAACTTTTTAGCAAAATTGTGTCCCAGAAAGTGAAAATTTACAGTTTTATTCTTATTTAAGTATTTTTAGTATAGGATTTATAAGTATAAGATACCAATTTTATTAAAAATTTTAAGTAAAAACAAAAATATTTTTATTAAGATATGGGATTTTCTATAATTCAGATGTACCACCTGAAGTTCTGGCTATTTATGAAGTTCTGACAGAAAAGTATTTTTCTTTTTGCATCATTCCACATATGCAGGAACTAACTAGCCTCTTTTGTATCAAAGATTGTAGATTTGGTAGTTTGAATTTATCGAACATTTTTGATATTAAAATTTTAAGTTAGAATTAAACATTCATAAATCCCGTAAATATAGATAAATTTACTGGAACTTATGTATATACATATTATAAACAATGCAATCTGTTAAGAACTGCTCAAATGAGGTTTTATCAATCACAATCAAGGAAAATATGAAATATTTTGTAAATAAAACCTAATAAACTGAACAAGTTTTATATTTGTAATTATTTTTTTTCGAGAATTTTCAAGGAATATAGTATCTGACAACACTGATCTATATGTATAAATAATGTATATGTTTGTATGTATGTGCAGGGGTATACCATACTGATTAAGTTTATGGTATATTATAAGAAAAAAAAAAACAGAAAGAGAATCAAAAACAAAATATATTTATGTATTGTAGGGAAATAAATGCTTATTATTTTATATTACATACACATATACATTATATACTTAGCAATAATAACAGTTTAAACATTTATATATACAGTTACTTTTATATATTATGAACTCATAAAATATAAAAAAGTTTTCGAGGAAACAAAAGCTTCTTAATATTTTTTTTCTATTAAAATATCTATACTGTCATCATCATTATAACTGATATATACAAAATATCCAAGTATATATACATACTTATACATACATACATATGTATATTATATTCATTGATATATATATATATGCATATTTACAAATTTTTGTATGTAAATACAAAAAAAATTTTTTTTTAACAAAAACACAATCATTTGGGAGAGTATAAAAAATAGATACGATTTCAGTTTTTTCAGTATTTTATTGAGAATCCTTAACTAAAGACACTAGCGATTAAAAAAATATTTGTTTTGCTGAATTTTCTTGAAAAAAATAAATTTATAAAATATGTATATAATATTTGTAAAATATTAAAAAGTTGTTTAAAATTTTGTTAAAAAATTAAAATATTGCAAAAATTCTTTAAAAAATTTCAGAAAAAATATGGAGTAAATATGAAATTTCTTGTTAATTAATAAAAAAAAAATATTAAAACAGTGTACACACATAATTTTTTTTTTTTTTCAATCCAATAATTTGTAATGAATATTAATTTGTATTTATTGTAATTGTAGGAATTTGAAACAAATTTTAAATTAAATAATAGCAGAATTTTTACAACTATAATATTTAATTTGAATTCAAAAATTTTTTTAGAAAAATTTAAGAATTTGTTAAAATGAAAATGAAAATCTCGTTCTATTTTTCTTAATTTTTATTTCTCGGAATTTTCTTTCACTATACTAAATTTTAAATAATAATTATTAATAATGAAAATTAATAATTTTAATATTGAAAATATTAAAAATTTGTAAAGTAAATTTTGAAGAAAAAATAGAAAAATATTGCACTGAATAAAAAAAAAAATATACTTACACTTAAAATAATATGAGTGTACAAAATTTATACAGATTTTGATTTTATATATAAGAGTAAGAGTATTTGTGTGCATATGTTACGGTAAAAGTTCATGTGAAATGTAATTAAATAAATTTTAATCCAGTTAACAAAAAAATCCCCTAAAAATTATTAATAACTATGCCCCATACATATGTACTCGTATATTTGTAATTGTAAAATTAAATTATTTTTACAATTAGTTTAAGTGATTAATTTTAATTAATTTTAAACTGAATTAATAATGTATTGAATTAATGTTGTATAATTAATTAGTGAAATTCGGTTAATTGCATTTATTAAGAGAGTTATATTTAATGTTGTAATTATATCCAAAATTTAATATGATGAGTTTTAAACGGAAATAATAAACTTTTTGTACACTAGAAGAACGTAAAAATAAAAAAAAAATTTTTACTAATGCGCGATAATTGTTAGTTTATGCGCACCTGCATATCATTTTCGTCTTAATCAATTCTAATAAAAATTTGTATTTCAATTTTAAATGTGATTTGAATGAATTGATGAGTTTCTGAAATAGGTTGGTTGCTTCGTAAACTAAATGCTCATGTTAAATTTTTGACAATATCTAAGATAATAATTAGTAGATTTTCTTGAAAATTTTTTATAAAATTTTAACTAATTTGAATTTAAAAATAAATTTATTAACAACAATCAAAATTGTTCACTTTCTTAAACTATTTGGTAACTATTTGAAAAATTTAGCAGTTGATCATGTGCTATTCGCATCAATATTTTTTTTTTATAATTTCTTCTTATATATATATGTATGTATATATAGTCAACAAAATAATTATATATTCTGTTTATTTTTTGTAATTATTTTCATATAATTTTTATTGTATAATTATTTTACCTGTACTACTACATACCCATAAATATTATACATTCATTATGCAGAAGCACGATTTATATTGTTAACTGTTAATAATAAAATATTTTATAAAAATTAAACATATTCAGAATGAATTTAAATTCAGTGATTTCGAATTTTCAATTTTTAAATTCGATTATTTTTAAACATAAAAAAAAAAATTAAATAAACTTCTAAGAAAATTAATTTAAATTAAATTTGAAAGACTAAATTATTTAAGTTTCGGATTCAAAAAAAAATTTTTTTTTTTCAAAAATATTTTACTATTACTATTTTCAACATGTACTTTAAAAAGTATTTTAAAGTATGTACTCTAAAAATTTAACATGTACATATACTCTCAAAATATTATGTCTTTATTTGAATGACGGACGGTACAAGACGGATGCACCGCACCGCACCGTCTTTTACAAACAGTAAAACTGAAAAATGACAAACAGTAAAATAATAAAATTAGTAATAAAAACTAATATCACATCAGTATGTGTTCATAACAGCAGCACTGGACGCCTTGACCTTCTACCGAATAATTTATTAAACGAGTGCGCCAAGTGGTATGCAATTTATATCAGTTTTACTTATCCAAACGCGTATTATATGTATAACTATTTTCGATTTTTTTTCAATTCTCTTAAATTTTGTTTTTAAAGTAAAGTTAGATTCGCTTAATATTACAAAAGCAGCTTTTAATCACTATCTAAACGTATCTTAAAAAAATTTAAAATTTATACTGAAATTATTATTAAGTATACCGTAACGCAAACATACGTTCAGAAATAAATACAAATGCACACTCTATATAGTTAAGTATATAAGTTCATAAATTCATATTATATGTAGGTATAAATTCATATTATATGTAGGTATATTCATTGTTACGTTTTATACACTAGTATGTATACATACGAGTATATACTCAATGCATATGTGTGTATTCATCACACAGAGAAAAAAGAAATATTAAAAGAGCTTTTTTTAATTTACAAATTATTTTATTTTTTGTTTTCTATTTTGTGGTTTCAATGAAAAAGGAATTTAAAGGAACAAACAAAAAAAATAATTGAAGAAGTTTGAAGAAAAAAAAAAAAAAAAAAAAATCTAAAAAAAAATCAGAGTAAAAAAAATAAAAAGGACTTGTGATCTCATTTTCTTTTTGCTTTCTACTTTCATTTTAAATAATTTTCTAAGAAATTAAAAATTAAAGAGAAAATTTTTTTAGAATAAAAAATAATTCACATACTACTGTTTTTTTTTTAGTGAACGTAAAAAATAAAGCTAATACAAAGGAAAGTTTTGGAAACAAGTAATAAAAAAAAACAAACAAGTTGAACTTAAACATTCCGAATATAAATATAAAACAAAGATTTGGAAAATTCCAAAAAGTTATCAGTTTTTTTTTTTGACTTTGTGTTCGGTATTCAATTCCTTAAGTATTTAAAATAAATCAAATTAATTTAATTAACTGAGTAGAACATTTTCCAAAAACCTTTTCTAACAGTAATCTTGCTATTTTTTTGTTAAAACAAATGAAAAACACTATTGTTTCTAATAAAATTTAATTTTAATAACAATGTTAAAAATATCAATTTAAATAAATAATTAAAGAAAATTTTAATTAAAATAAAATTGTGAAAAAACAAGAAGCAAACATTTACTTAAAAAACCAAAAGTTTCTAAAAAAATTTTTTTAACTTAATAATGTTAATTTTTGGTATTTAAAAGAAAACCAAATTTTTTTTATTATTAATTAATTTATTTATTTAACTAATTTAAAATAATTTATTCATAATAAAAATTAAAACAACAAATATTTTAATAATTCATTCTTATTATCTTGCTTTTAAAATAATAAAAACGTGAAAGAATTATTGTTAAAACAAAAAGTGTGCATTTCAGTTATATTATACTTAAAAGAAAATTTTATTAATTTTGTTACTTAATTATTAAATTATTGCAATTGTATATATATACAAGTTAAAATAATTATTTTAAATTTGTGCGAATGTTTTATTTTAACGAAAAAACTAAAAATACTATAAAAATGAATTTATTATTGAAACAATTATTTATTATGTATAATATATCAGCATTTAGATGTTCTAAGTTAAAGTTAATTATTTTACAATTATTAATTTAAATTAATTAATATAAAAAGTATACATTAAATTATAATACAAATAAAACATTATAAATTGTGACTGTTCAAAAAACAAAAATAGAGAAAAGGAAAAAATTTTCTTTTTTACTTAAATTTTTTTTTGAGTGTATTCAATTTTTTTTTTCACCAATAATTTTTGACTGTGTACTTATAAACTGTTTTTTTTAATAACAATTAAAATTATCTCGCATGTTATAATTTTATTTTCAAATTTTTTATGACTTTACAATTGATTTTTGAAAGTGAAAATTGAGTATTATAAAGAAGGAAGCGGCAACTCTAATATAAAACTGGTAAACATGAGATACAAAAATTATACTTGGAAATCTTATAACATTTCAAAAGTTTTATTTTAGAATTTAAGAAGGTTTAATTTTTTTTTTTTTTCAAAATCTTCAATAAAACCGAACTTTTCCAATTCAATGAGGAAAACGGCAGCTCCACACGTTCTCTACATGATATTTTAAAACGTCACTCTGTGTATATAAAGCCATTTTTTTTTAATTAGGTTTTGGGATAAAAAATCCGCATCTGTAGAAAAAGAGCGACTTCATTCGCTTTGGCTCATTCGAAACTTCATAATTGAATGAATCCAAGTGTCATTTCAAAAATGATAAGATCTGATTTCGAAAGCCTACAAGAAAGAAAAAGAAAATAAATAATTAAATAAATAATTTAAATAAATTGAATATTTTATAACATTTGAACTAATTGTGTACGTTTGTGTAAGATACGAACAACACTCTGATTTTGTCATAATTACATACATATTTTTAGTGCTATTTTACAAAAGTTTGCAAATTCAAGTTAATTCGAATTGAATCAATAAGTTTATAAAGTAGCACATTTATTTTAAACAAGTGAACTGTTCTTTTTTTGTCCCAAAAACATCTTCTATTTACTTTATTCTCTTAAAATCATAATACATACATGCTATATTTTCTTCCATTGCATACTTTTAGGGCGAAAAAAAAATAAATGAAAACAGGTGGTAAATATATTTCCTTGTTCGCCGATTTTGAGAGACGGACAGTAATTTCTTTAACGTTTTTTTGAAGTGTCGTCACACATACTATAAAATTTTTATATAGGTGCTAGCTATTAATTCAAGAGAATGATACTTTTTAGCCACTGTAACTCAAAAAAAAAAATTTAACAAATGGCACTCGAAAAAATCGCATTGTGCTCAATTCTGTTAATCTGTCGAAAGCGATCATCACTTAATTGTCAATTATTAGGCAACTCATCATGACGGTTAAGATAAACAGTTATATATATTTTTTTGTAGAAAAATATTTATTAAAGAACTCAGAGTATCGGAAAAATTAGTTATCAAAAATTAGACTCTTTCATTTCATACTTATTGTAAAATTATTCATAAAAACGAAATTCGACTTTTTTTTGTTAGTTAAATTTGGAAATTGCTTACGGTTTTCGGACGATAAGTTGTCAAAATTGAATTTTAAAGGATTTGAGGGATTAAAACTTTTTCTTCTAAAAAATAAATTTCTTCCGAAAATACATTTTCATTAGAATCTTATTGCTCTAGAGGAATTGGTATTGAACTACTGGAACCAAAAAAGTCATTTCAATAAGCACATTTTTTTGTTTATTAACCTTTCATTTAATAAAGTTGGGTCAAACCAATGGTTTGTATTGTAGCACTTTTCCCTTCGACAAGTGAAAATTCTGTTTTTAAATACAGTCTATGTATACCTTTCACACTATTAAAATTATTTTCATTAATTTACACAACTATTTCTAGGATTGCATATATTTAGGATGAACGATTTATGCAGTCTTTGAAATAAAGCAAAAATTAATATAAAGAGGGGTTAACATAATGCTCGATTTTAAGGTTTAAATGTGTGAGTTAAGAAAAATAATTATATTTTTTAATGTCATGGAATTTACCGTTAACCTTTAGCGTTTATAGACATTTGAAAAAGCTTGCGGTTTCGGAAATATAGGGTGCCAAAAATTCAAATTTTACAAATTTCAAGGGGCGATAACTTGAGAGGGGGCGGAGATGGAAAAAAATTTTCTTCTAACGAAATGAACTATTTGGTAATGTCTAAAAGGTCCTAAAATTTCAAGCTTCTACAGGCTGGGGTCTAGAAGAAAAACGAAATCAAAAATTTGGAAAAAAAAGACTTTAGATAACGGTAAATTTGAACGGCCATTTTGTTTTTCTAAAGTTTAGCTATAGTATACCGTGCTAGAGGAAGCAAGCCGTTGTCTTTCTGCGTTTGCAAAATTTCAAAAATGCTTATGGTTTCATTGCAACAAATAGTTAAAAAAGGCCGTTTTTAGGGTTTTGGGGGGGTATAACTTCTAGAGGGGGGGAGATAGGTAAAAATTTTGTTCTATGGAAATAAGTTTCTAGTAAAGATCTATGTACATACAAAATTTCAGCTTTCTATCTTCAACGGTGTAGAAGTTTTGTAAACAGACACACGGACAGACGGACGGACGGACAGAGTGAAACTAATAAGCACTTTTTTTCAAAAATCTTTTGGAAAAGTGCTAAAAACACAAACATTGAATTTTCTTAAAAATTAGCAGTTGTAGAATAACTAGATGAGCATTCGTATTTTGGATTTCATTCAACACTATAAATTGATTTTGCATCTTTACTGTACTAAAAAAGAAAAAAGAAAAATTCGAATACTTAAACTTAAGTTTTCTTTTTTAAATACCAAAGAGATTTGAAGTGTCATCAGCAGAGGGCACACACTCAAATAAAAAAAAATCAAAAGATAATTTAAGTGTTTTTCTCTTTATTTTTCAATTATGTGTGTCCAACAAAAGTACAATAAACAAAGATATAATTAGATTAATAAATGCCGTTAATATGTTATAAATGTGTACGAACATTGAGTATGTATATATATGTATATACATATGTGTGAAAATATTAATAGTGTGGGTACACAACATAAATTAAAATAGTAGTGACAACATTTAATAGATTATTGGCATTTCTTTTTGATTAAATCCTTTTTGTTGTTCTTTGGAGACTTTATATAATTATTTTAGATCACAGATTTTGAAGAAATAGCATTAAAATCAATAAAAGATTTCGTATTTAAATTAATTTTTAAATTAAAGAAAATAAAACTGTTTTTTTTAAGTTTGAATAAAAAAATGGCGGAAAACGAATTTAATTTAGAGATTTAAAGTATAAGATCTAAACTTAACATTGAGAGGCTTAAATTTTAAGATTTTTTTGAGAGATTCGAAAAATATTTCATAATATTAATTTTTTTTTAACATGCTGATTTTAAAAATAAAGACAAAATTGTATAATGAATAATTTTTCACGGGCTTCAATGTGTAAATGTAATTTTTATTTGAAGGACATATCAAACACTGGTTTTTTATTTTTTGTAAATATTTTTCACAACCAAGTTTACAGTTATATAATATATTATAAAATAATATAATTGGCAAGTCAATATTTTTCTCTTTTGATTAAGAGCAATTGAAAAGTGTTGCCTGATAATAATGTTTAATTCATTCACGTAATTCTTTTATAAAATATTTACACAAATTTTCAAAATTCGAATGAATATTCGATAAATGTAAAAGAACGCGGTCTTTTAAAACAAAAAAAAAAAAACGCAAAAAGTACATAATTATCACAATTTCATTTTAAACTGCGCACGGAATCATTGGCGGAAATTACACAGACTAATTTCCATACAATTAAAATTTGACGTAATATACTAACTAATCTATCTTAAATAAACACAATAGTATCATTGAAAGTTCAGTATATTCTTGCATAGCGTCAAGATAAATTCATATAATAATCTTTAATATTATTTATATTAAATGAAGAGAAAATAAAATTCTTGTTCAAATCAATGAAATTCCAATTTAAAAAATTTTTGATTTCTTATCTTTTAATAGAAATGTGATGGATAAATATGAATTCGATAAAGCGTTCCATACAAATCAAATATTTGAGTCGAACATACTAAATTTTGTTTAGGTCTTTCTTTCGAACCGTTTGTTACCAATCGAAAAAAAACTGTATACAGTCGAAAAAATTATAATTAAATAATAAATACTTTTGAAATGTTACAAGTAATCGACATGAAATTAAAAATTCATATACTCAACAAAAACCAAATAATTAATAATTTTTTTCACAAATATTGTATAATTATCTAGATAAATGACAATTATATTTACAAAAAGCAATTAAAAGAAAAATTCTAAAAAGTTCAAAAGTCTAAAAAAAAGAACATTGAAAACAACAAAAATTCATTTATATTAAATTATTTGAAACACGTAATGTTTTCAGAAAAAAATAGTGAAAAATTATTAAATAAATCAACATTTTATATTGAAAAATATTGTAATAAATTCTTTCGAAATTTACCACCTAAAAAATACTATAAAAGTGAAATAAATTCTACAATTGAAATAAAACAAAATATACAAAATTTATATAAAGAACAAAATAATATTAGAAATATAAAAAATTCAAAAAAAAATAAAAATAATAATTCAATTAAAAAATTTCTAAAAAATCTATTTAAATCAGCAAATAATTTAAATTTAAAAGACAAAATAAAAAAATTAATTGATAAAACGAAATTTAATAAAAAAAATGATGTTAAAAATCGGCGCTGTTATATTGCTTCGGCGGTAGCAGCAGCCGTATTTTTTTATACAGCTATAATATTTTTATTACAAATAATTATTAATAAATTTTTAATAAAATCTATTATAATTAATTCAACAACAACAACAACAGCACAAACAGTAATACCAACAGCAACAGCATCATTAATATCAACAACAAAAATTTCAACAATTATTTCAACAATATTATTATTTATTATTGAATTATTTACAATTATTTTAATTATAATATTTATAATAATTGGTAAATTATTACTTGATAATTATATAAAACGTATACAAAAACGTAAAGAAATTTTTAATACATTATCAACAATAGATTTTTTAATTAAATTAAATTTTCATAAAATTTCATATCAAATTTATAACGCAATTATTATGAAAGTTAATAAATTAAAAATATTACCAACTGTTATTGGATGGCGTGTTGGTATATCAATGGTTAAACCAGATCCAGGAGACTGACATAAATTCAATAAAAATATAATATTATTTTATGAAAAAATAATATTAAAAATAAATGATCAATTAAAATTATTTGAAAATAATATTCAATTTTTTGAAAAAGAAATTCATATAAATGAAGATAGAAAAACAACTGAAATAACAACTGAAATAAAACAAATACAAGGCGAAATAATAAAGGAACAATCAAAACAAAAGAAATTAATAAAAACAACAGATACAACAACAATAAATACAATAATACTAAATTACGACAAATTGTATTATCATTATTATTATAAAATATTGAAAGCTGCAAATATTAAAGAAATTATAATGCAAATATCATATAATTGTATAATAATATTGAAGAAGAATTTAAATCATTATAAATACAATATTAGAAATATTATAATGTGGTGGTATACAGATTGACTACTAAGCATTAAAATTAAAAGAAAATTTAAGAAAATTTTATACAGATAGCAATTTATCACATAAAAGAAAATATATACAATTATATTTAAAATAAGGAAGATTAAAAGGAATAATAAATTAATATTAAAAATAATTTGATATAAATTTTTTCATTTCTTATATATATGTATATATATATATACTTGATTTTTTTGGACATCTTTTGAGATGAGAATTTAATTGTAATCGAAGGAGATTACAATTGAGATTGAATTCAAGCATTGAATTTGAAGAATCATTCAACAAGTATTATTTGAGCGACAAAGTAATTATTACTGTCGAATTGCAACAAATTAAAAGGTGCATAAAAGGAGAATAAAAGCTAAAAATAATTTAGAATTTGAATTCAAAGCAAAAAACTGAAAGAAATTTTGCAAAGCACTGAAATATCCGAATATCGGAATATTGGTCGAAAAAAAACAGAAATAGAAGTAATTTCAAATTAAAGATAAATATTAAATTAAAATTAATGAAAATTTGAATAATTTTCTTAAAAAAATTTTGTAAATCACTTGAAAACATATTTGAAAATAAATTATTAATAATATTAAAACAAAAAATTTTAAGAGTTTTAATAAACAACTAAAATTATTTTCTAAATCATTATTACTTAATAACAAAAATTTTTTAATTTTATAATAAATTGGAATTTTAAAAATTAATAATCATAATTATTTTTTTTTGCTATAATCATAATTTTTTTTCAAACAAGTGCATATAATTTACAAGAATTGAATTGTTTATGAAGAAATATTAAAATATATTATAAATATAATTATTTAACTAAGCTATAACCACCGGTTTAATTATACTAAAATATATATAAATGAAATGTACATAATTTAAAACAAAAAAAAAAATAAATTATATCAAAATATACCAGGTTTGGAGAATCGTATAAATTATACAAAAAAAAAAAAAAACTAAAATTAATATAAATTAAGAATATAAAAAACAATTTATAAAACTTTATTAAGAGAAAAAAATAAAGACACATATTAAATTAAATATTGTATAGGTGCATTATAACAAAAAATAATTATTATAATAAATTATTGTAATAAAATTATTTAAAAACAAAAAATTATTACTTAATAAATTAAAAACAAACAAAAGAAAATTTTAAAATTATAAAAACCAAATTGATTATTAAAGAAAAATATTTCTATTAAAAATTAACTGTGACATTATTATAACCCCAATAATAATAATTACTTACTTACTTAAAAAAAAAACAATTACATCGTACTTAAGGATATTAAAAATTATTGAAAGAAAAGATTGTATAAAAGCTATTAATGAATTGAAATAATTTGTGAAAAAAAATATTAAGATAATTATTAAAATAAATAATAATAATTAAATTAAAAAATCATTTACATATACATATACTAAAAACTATTCAAATTAAATTAAAATTATAAATTTATTGTGTTATATAAAAAAATAAAAATTTTTTTGCATGTGTATTGAAAATTAATACATATATACAGAATATTGACAATATATAAATAACTATATTAATTACTTAATTACATTTAAAATAATAATGATTTTAAAATATAAAAAATTGAGATATAAGTGCATATAAAATAATTTTACAATTCATTTACATAAAAATATTAAATTTAAATTAAAAATTATTCTTGTGATATAAAAAATAAATAATAATTAATATAAAATAATATAATTATATAAAATTATTCAATAAAAATATTTAATTATTTAAAAAAGAAAAATTTTAATTAAAATTTAAATTGAAAAAAAAAAAAACTATTCAACAAAAAATAAGAAATTTTTTTTTTATTATATTTTTTTTAAGTTAAAAAAAAACCTTTTGAAAATGCCAATAACACCTAATACAAAGGGCTTCCAAAGAAGCCAATATTCACCATTTCGTAATCAAATAAATTCAATTGATATATTAGATGATAATAATGATGAAAATGTATTTAATAATTATGATGATGATAATAATATTAAAAAATCATTATCAATTAATTTAGATAATAATAAACAAAATTTTGATAATAATACAGCAACAACAACACAAACAACAGCAATGAAAACAATGAAAAATATTAAAAATCGTCGTTTTGATAGTGGTATTAGTGTTATTAATAATAGTATTAATTGTGATATAAATTATGCTGGTACTAGTAATAGTGGAATTAATAATACAATACAAACAACAACAGTAGCAGGAACAGCAACAACAACGACACAATCAACTAATATTAATAAAAATAATAATTTAAATAATATTATTATTGATGATTGTGAACAACAACCAATAATGAGTGGTTGTGGTGGAAATGAAACAGATGATTTAGTTATATCTGAATATTTAATAGAAGGTACCCATATTATAAATTATTTTTTTATTAGACTATTAAAATTAAATAATTTAAATTGATAGTTATAAGCTTTTTTTTTTTTTTATTTAAAAAAATATTAATGTACTGTACTCACTTATAGACAAAATTAATTTATAATATTTAATTTTGATACATAAATAATTTATTGTAATTTAAAATTACTCAAAATTAGAAATTAGAAATGTTGCTTTATATCGTTGTTTTCTATAAAATTCCTCGAATAACACCATCTTTTCCATAATTTTTTTTTTAATTTACGTCATAAAAAACAGACTTTTAATTTAAGAATATAGAATCTAAGAATTATGTGATGAATGGGCATATTAAAGGAATGGACTTGAAATTAATGATGCTGAAATTAATGAAAAAATGTGCGTATATAAAATGTTTTAAATAATACCACGTATAAAGCTCTGACAATTTATTTTATTGAAATTAAATGACTTTTCCTAAATTTCCATTTCAATAAATTTTTTCATATTTGATAGAATATTGACTAGGTATTGCAATTTTTGATAATTTTGTTCTAAATTTGGTCTAAATAAAGAGCACGTTCGATAAATCCAGACTGCAAAACTTGTAAAATCAGCAGCATGTTACAAAATTATGATTTCATTTAAAGTTCTGAAAGAATTTTTTTATAATTGTAGAAAAATATTACAAATTAGAAGATCATAATAGAAAAATGTTGGAAATATTGAAGAATTACTCGAGTATTTTTACAAATCTGCAGATATATTTAGTTTCTGTAGATTTGTAAGTATGTAATTGTGAAAAGACTTTTAAGATTTAATTTGGAGAATTCAGTGCATGTCTGAATTATCGAAAATCCTCTATTTCATTAAATTATTTTAATAATACCAATGTAAATATTAACGAATATATATATATATATATGTGTATGTATGCACTCGTTATTGACTAATCTATTTTTTTCTTTAAAATATTTAAGGAACTAGTTATGTTTGGCTTTAAAAATTTTTGATAAAGTGTAAATTGCATTTGACATGCAATTAAAGTTAAAGGTTAATGATCTTATTTTTATGTTTTTAGTTTTTTTTTTTTCAAAATATTTTTGAATATTTCAGAATTAAAAGTATTTTTTACTTCTTTAATATTATAATTAAAATAAATAAAACAAATAATAACAATATTTGTTAAGTTTTAATTAATTTTTTTATTTTATATCAAAAGGTTCCCGATATTGTGACAATTTGCATGCAAATTTTTTATATCAATCGCCTTAGTCAAATATGACAAAAAAATTTTTAGGCCGAAAATTGCCTTTTATTATATGAGAAATTGCAAGAAATTTGCATATACATTTCGCTGTAAATATTAATAAAAATTGAGTAATTTTTCAAGGATTAATGTGTAACAGATTCGAAATGTTTTACATAAATTATTTATTAATTCGATAAACAGCCGCGTTATTCTGCGATTTCGAATAACAGGAAATAGCATTTTTTTGTTTTCATTTGTTCTAGTAATTGAGAAAACTTCTCCTATGTTAAGATTGTTTTTTTGATACTCTACATTATTATTCTAAATATAATTCATGTTTAAGATTGCCGATAATATTAAGGTCTGTCCTGTGATCTCGCGTGGGCTCTTAATAAATTAAAGAAAATTAAACTCGTATTAAACTTATTTTCTATTAAATATTTCTTTTCAGAATCTCAGGCTACAAAGGTCTAATTTTCAATAATCTACCGAACAAAAGTTGTAGATGCTGCGGAGACCTTTCAAACAGGCATACAATTAACTGAATTGACAGTTTCCTTTCCTGTTAATAAAACATAATCGCAATTCGTTACTTAAACTTGAATCAAATGTCAGATATTGTCATTGACGGTTACTCAAAATCACATAGTACTATGCAATATACAAGTAAAATTATTACCATTTTATAGAATAAATTCGTCTTTGTTAAGTTTTTTTTTTTTTTATTATTATTTCTTTATTTAGTATAACAATAACTATTTACAATTAATACTAAGGTATTTACATTATCACATTAAATTTTCATATTTACAAAAATTGTTTTTACTATTTTATGGAAAGTATACATATTCATTATTCATTAAAGAGCAAAGTTTTCTAATATGTGTCGAATTAAGTTTCTTTTAAATATTTTAAAATTATTCTCATACTTTAAATTTGTAGGTAATTCATTAAACAATTTTAAGCCCTTATACATCAACATATTTTGCGTTTTGGTTTTTGTATAAAAATTTAATCTAAAATCCAAGAAACTTCTTAAGTAATAATTTTGAGCATTTTCAACATAAATTAATCTATTAGTTAAATAACTTGGCATCATTTTATTTTTTATTTTGAATACCGTCATCAATACATTCATTTTAACCCGCTGCGACACACTCATCCATTTCAAAGTTTCCAACATAAATGTCTTGGAAGTAAATTTATTTAATTTTAATATTATTCTCATACCTCGATTTTGAAGCTTTTGCAACCTCCCCATCATTTCAGCATTGAACGTAAAAATTATTGATGAACAGAATTCAAAATGAGGTTTCAACATTACATTAAAAACTCTAATTGCGCTCATCAACGTTAAATTTTTTCTTATTTTTGAAAAAAATCAAATATGTCATTATCTGTTACAATTTAAAATTTTGAATAGCATTACAATTTAAGATTTTTATTAGCATTTTATGTACAGTGTTTAAATTCTATATTTTGTCTCAATTAATTATATTGTAATTGGAAACTGATTTAATTATCTTGATATAAGCCGTTATATTACTCGTAATTTGATTCGATGTATAACATTATTATTTCATTGACATTGTTTTAACTATTATATTGGCATTTTAACAAATTACATTTACGATACTATCTTGTCAATAATTTTTAATCCTATAAAAAATTATCATGTCTCTCTGATTTTTTTTTTATTATTATTTTAATGCAGAATTTAATTTATTTATATTTACGTTACCTACATTTATACGTGTATATTTATGCATTGAAATAAGTACAAAAAATTAAAAATATTGAAAATTGGAAATAACTGAAATTGATTCTAACTGTCCAAGTGTAAAATTGAACACATTTTTATTCGTCACAGTTTTAACAGATTAAAAAAATTAATTAAATTGAAATGTATGTAAACAAATGTACATATGTACACATGTTCAATTTACATTAATATTTTTTTTTTCATATAATACGAAAACTTTGCATTGCAAACAATTGATTTAAATACAAAAATAATATACTATGTAGATGTATATTAATTGATAACATTTATTTGTAAATAAGCCATACGTTTACACAAAATATTCCACATCCCATACTCTTGCGTTACCTTTTTTTTTTGCGATTCAGAAAAAGGATTAAGTAAAAATAAATAAATCGTAAACTTTATTTAACAAGTACCCAAAATAATAAATGAATGGATCAAGTAAATAAAGTTTTTTTTTTTTGTAAAAATTGCAAAATTCTTCAGTGGAGTGGGCTCGGTCCATTCTATATAAAAAAAGCTATTACTCTAGTATAGAACTTATGATTATATATCGGTGGCTATAAACATAATAAGAATGCAAGGTAGGATTCCAAAATTTTACAGTTTCGAAATTTTGTAAAGCAACAACAGCGACAAGTTGTATGTTTTGACAGCTGGCAGATTCAAATTTAAAAAATAAAACAAATTTGAATTGCTGCTTTGAAGTTAAATTCTTATTTCGTTCACTACCATTTAATACTCGTAACATGGAAACTTAATTTAATTTTTTGCAGAATTGTCAAATTTTGAAGTTCATTTTGAAAATATTTAAGAGAAATCATAATTCGAAGATTACTGTTACATTGTTACAATTATATAAGTTCGGTATAAAGCTTATGCAATGTCTAAGAAATAGTAACGAGAAACTTATCGAGTTCTGGTTATCTATATCGTTAAAATTAACTGTGATTTCGAACTCAAATTCACCAATTTGATATTTATTCATAATTTCTGACGATAGAAGAAATTAGTTCTAAACTTTTTGTATTTTTGGAGTTTAGAAATTGTTTATTGGTTAATACAGCAAGTTATAAAAGTTCGTATTACATTTTCATTACTCTATAGAAACTTATGAAGCTGAAAGCGGAAAAATATTCGAAATTAAAATTTCGATAATAAATTCATCGATACAAATGCTGAAATTTTTAGATTAACAATACGTGAAGTTGTAAAAAAAACAACACTCGCTAATAAATAAGAGGGAAAGAAAACCTTCTTTGGTAAAATTAAAACAAAATCGCGTTTTTCCACGATGAAATTATTGATTTCGAAAATTTTGTAAATATATGTACACAAAATGTGTCTTTCAGAACTTACGCACACATAGAAATAGACGATATATAGGTATATTCTTGGTACTATAGCCTATAAATTATGAAAGTTATTCGTCTATAATAATTTTGATGACATAGTTTTTATTTTTTGTTATGTATTTACGTTTTTGGTTAACTATATTACAGTTCAAAAAAACAATAATTTTGGAGTCATTGAAAAAGAAAGAAAAGTAAAAAGGACCCCTCCCTTTCTCAATATTATAACTGAAAACAAATTTTTGGAAATAACTATTATTTTTATTTATAACTTTTGCAAGAAAAGGTACACAACACTATTATTGTAACAATAAAATTTCAGTAGAATTTATTCGTGTAAATTTTGATTCAAAAATAACCTTCGTTTTTTTATTTGTATAGATTAAAACTACATACAATTTTCTAAAAAATTTATTGAATTTAAGAATTTCATTGTTCTTTCCTCAAAAAAAAATATTATTCATGTTTATTTTGTATGTTCTGTTGTTATTTGTAGAAAGGTCATGGACAAATAAAGAAGAAGAAGAAACAAAAAATGATAAAATATTGAGCTAGTTCTCATAAAAATATGAGAAAGAAATTCTTAATAATTCTACCAGAGTTGTAAATATTTTTGACGTTTTTTAATTAAGGTTTTT